ATTGATATTTATGATTATCTGTTTCCCTTATGTTTCAAATTCACATAACTTAAAGATGGATTTTGATAATGACGAGCTGTTGGCGATAATTCAAATTTTGTTATGCATCCCAACTCTTAGTTCCATGATGACCTATGATATGCTTGAATATGTTTTTATGTGCCCATTACCTCTCATCGCAGTAAAAACAACTGAATTGGTCCTTCGCGCAGTGGACTCGAAAAAAAACCCAAATATTTGAAGAAAAAAAAAATGAATAAACTTGAAATGTGCAATGATTGCTATAAGTCATAAAATACAAATTCTTCGTAAAACTAGTAAAAGTCAAATGAAAGCAACTCAATATAATATATCAAAGGCCTAAGACTGCTAACAATGGAACAATTTTAAGGGACTTAAATTACAGATCATATGTTGAACATGAAGTCACAGTACATTCACAATCGCTTTGTACAAGAAGTCACCGTACACTGGACTGAAATGGACGCGAAGTCACAGCACACTTGCAAACTAAACCGACAATGTATATTCATTTCATGCAATATTTACAGCTTTATTAGGGACCATGCTTGTTTTGTATCAAAGATAAATGATTTTGAAGAGCGATTTAATTCATGTTTTTGGCATTTGTAATAATAATTTTCGAACTGAATTGTAAAAATCTTAGAACGCCATCGTACGTTAAGACAATACGCCCAAACACTTTTAAATTGTATTATTATTTTTATGTAAATATGCAATTAATGTATGCAAAATTCATTCTGTAATACATTATGTTAATAAAAAGTTAAGAATAAATATAGAAAACAAAATAAACATATCAAACTGAATGCATTGCTGTTACTTGGTGTTGCAAAATGGAAGTCACAGTTCACCGAGAACGTGAAGGCACATTTCAAAGAGGACACTGTTTATATAGTGTGGTCATGATATGTAGGAAACGTGTGTAACATTTGTTAATGAGTAGAAATGCTTACCATGATTATCAGACATTAACATATAAAACGATTTTTTATATTCAAAATAGTTTTACACATGTAAATGAAAATACATTTGCTTTGCATGCAAATTTATCCTCAAATGCAGTGCTCAAATGCTATTCAAACTAAATTAAAGAAATTTGATTTTTCAGTATATTTTCCATTTCATGAGAGACTTTAACGTAGAAATTTCAAACGAATGAATAAATATTTGATATGTCATATCAATACTAATGTGACATATGATTGAAGGAAATGTTGAAATTAATTTTAGTCTCATCTTGTATTTAACATACACTTTAATAATTTAATAGCTTGCATTGTAAACTGTGTTGATGAGAAAAATGGCTTATTCTGTGATGGAAAGGTGTTAACTGTTACTGGTCTTCTTATGAAATTGATTCTTTATTCCAAATTGAATGACCATTCTCACTTTTCTTTTACCATACACACTGCAAACGAACTTTAGTTTTGGGGAAGGGCGATTCTAAGGTGATCGGAATCACACTGTCCGTCCGTCCGTCCGACCTTGAGCCTGTCTGTCTGTCTAACTACCTTGTAAGCACAACTCCTTTTAATGAGCTACATGGATATTGGTAAAACTTTACACATTTGTAGGAGACCACCTGAGGGAGTGTAAGATGACAAATTAGCTATTTGAATTACAAGTTCAATGTCCACGCTACATAATTCGTGGTTAGGAGATCAATATTGCAACTAATGTTTCGGGTTTTAGCAATTATCATTATCAAATGTATAGACGGGCTGATATACAGTAGATATTGGAAAAATTGGTATCTTAGAAATCAATACAACAAGAAAGGTGATCGGCAATACCGCTCCCTATAGATATTATCATTGTAATTATCTTTCATTTTCTAAATTGGAACAATTAAGTGAAATATGACATAAAGTTCGATGTGTATACAGTTAGAAATAGTTGTTCCGTCATGGTATTTAATGCAATTTAATAGAAATTTGGTTCGATTCTCAGATCCTTTCCGCATTGTACATTGTATGCAACCATTTAGAAGCAATTAATGACATTATTGAATTTCATGTCTTTATATGATTAATGTAAAATGAAAAGAATACTAAAGAGGAAGTAGAAGAATACAAAACCAATTGATATCATGATCTGTAATTCTACGTCGTTTGGTATACAATTAATGTCTAGTGGAGGAAACGACAATTTAACCTGATGATAATGCTTTACTACAAAACATGTGCCTTTAATATCGATCTAGTGTATTAAATCAAAATCATTATCTTGTAATTTGTATTACTAAGCATTCGTCCACTGCAGACTATATTTAATTTTCCGGCTTTTTATAAACTATTTATAGACAAGTTACAGGGATTCCAGTGGTTTCCTATTGTGCTCCTCGTATACAGCTTCAGAAGGATCCATCTAAAATATCTTTTAAAAACGTAGTTTCATTCGATTTCGTTTTCATCAAATATGACAACATGTTGTAGGTAATCCTATGGGCACTAATTGCGCCCCTTTAATATAAGTTTTTGTACTGTTATGAATCACAGTTTATGACCAAACTCAGTAAAGACCTGTCTAAATTGCATTTAATTGATTTATTCAACAACACTTACCGTTATCTTAATGATATTTTTTTGTTAAATAATCAAGAATTTTCTCAATATACTGCCGAAATTTACCCAAAGGAATTTACTTAAATAAATCAAATTTAAACGGTAACAACTGTCCTTTCCTAGATTTAGATATTTCGGTTTTACACGGGAAACTCCACACTAAAATTTCCGACAAAAGGGACAATTTTTCGTTCCCTTTTGTTAATTTTCCCTTTTTGGATGGCGATGTTCCTTTGGCACCATCTTACGGTATTTATATTTCACAACTCGTTCGCTATGCCCGTGTCTGTTGTGACGTTTTTGATTTTAACGAACGTAATCTATGTATTACTGGTAAATTATTAAGCCAGGGATTTCGTTACCACAAATTACTTAAAACCTCTACTAAATTCTTCCATAGATATAAAGATTTGGTTTTGAAGTTTGGTTGTACCTGTAGAAAGCTTATTTCAAACGGGATTGCACATCCTCATTTTTACGGCAATATTGTTTACCGTGACCGGAAATTTAGAAACGATCCTGGTAAACTTATCGATCCTTTAAATAAACTTATTCTAAAAGGTTACCAATTCAACACTGTAATTAGATCATTAAATATTGTTTTTATTGGTACTGATATTGATTTTGTTGTCAGTAAATTAAAAGCAAACTAAATATTATTATTATATACATGTACACATTCATGGATCTACAATCTGTTGATACCTGTATCTTGGCATTGCATAAGGTCATGTTTTTCTCTGACTGTTTATGACGTCTTTACACTAAATCCATTGGATGTTGGATGTGTACGGATTGATAATTTAGTCTTAGATGCATGATTTTTTTTTATTAGTTGTTAGTGGCTTTGAACTAGCTGTCAGTAACTGCGAGTACTCTCAGATCTGTACTTAGTGTCTTTTTGTTGTTTGAATGTACAAGTACCCGGCCACGTCCACTTGTAATTGCAGTATTTGTATTTTTATCCATCTGATGAGTTAAGCCTCTTTCAGCTGATTTTTATAGTTCGGTCTTATGTTGTACTGTTACACCACTGTCCCAGGTTAGGGGGAGGGTTGGGATCCCGCTAACATGTTTAACCCCGCCACATTATGTATGTATGTGCCTGTCCCAAGTCAGGAGCCTGTAATTCAGTGGTTGCCGTTTGTTTATGTGTTACATATTTGTTTTTCGTTTATTTTTTGTACATAAATTAGGTCGTTAGTTTTCTCGTTTGAATTGTTTTACATTGTCATTTCGTGGCCTTTTATAGCTGACTGTGCGGTATGGGCTTTGCTCATTGTTGAAGGCCGTACGGTGACCTATAGTTGTTAATTTCTGTGTCATTTGGTCTTTTGTGGAGAGTTGTCTCGTTACCACATCTTCTTTTTTATATTTGCTACATGTAGTTGAGATTTTCGTAATAATTTATGCAACCAATAATGTTCATTACATAGTGTACATACAGTTTACCATTTGTATATCCATACATTCTAGTCATGCACAAAGACCTGCACTATCTAGACATAAAAGATATGGTGTCAAATCAAAAGAACTATCAATCTTGATGTGTATTCGATGATATTTAGGGAACGACCATTACCGACAAAAAACCATACCCCTCTGAAGTTAAATGGTTGCTTCCTTATATGCACTTTTATTCACAAAATTGTTTTTTGTTCTTTCACAAAACTTAAGTCTGCATTCGATATGAAACTTTTAAATCTAATGATTTTAAAGTCTATTTGTTTTAAGGAACTTAACTAATGGATGAATTTAATTTCAAGAAAGTAACTTATTAAGTAATCTGAAAATGTTCTCTACGCGAAGCAATCGTTATCTTTGTGATCTGTGCAACAGAGTTATCTACATTGATAAATATGCAAATCAATTAGAAACTACGAGAAGAGGCGAATATCAAACAAACAGGGGACAAAAGAAATGCAATGTGTTTTAGTACCATTAAATAACATAAAGGTCCAAAAGCATCCCCTCCTTTTCAGAGAAAATATAGTACACGCAAAGACAAACGAAGGGGACAGTAACAGAACTTGTAAAGAATAGGAAAACAATGCTTTGGTGTACAAGGATAAAACAAAAATATGTTGTATAGCGCAGCATCTTTATTCTTAAAATCCTAAGCGCCAAGAAAATTACAGTTGGTTTTTTTCGAGTCTTATCTATCTTCCTTATACATGTAGGAAGGAAAAGGGATTTGAAAAAAATGTTCCTTAAATTTCACTAAGACTGAAAGTAAATAAGACCATCAATTGGTAAGGAGGACATTTGCATTTGGATCTTAAATTAAATCATATCGCCTTAAATTAGAATGTAGAAAGAATGACCCAAATTGACATAGCTTTGAATGATGAAATCCTCACCACTATCATTCACGAAATGTCTTTCATCAGGGAGTAATTCTTATCAAAAGAGTAAAATTCTAAACATTTTACTATATAAAAAAAAAAACTCATCAAAACACACGACTGAAATCGATCTCACTGAAATATATATTAAGGATGTCTACATAAACATAATTGTTATGTTTGCCTCTTTTTGAGATACAAGTATTTAATCATTATAATGGTGGTTTCTCTGTTTCAAAATCAATGTATGGACAGAAACGAATGTTAGGCGGTATGCAAAGTGTATTTGAAATAACAAGGAACAAGAATTTAACAATATTTTGACAGAAGTGTGATATGCCTTTCAAAATAATGTAAAACATACGGATTGCTAGACAAAGGGAAAGTTAATATGCATAGGCATACGAAAAAGTAAAAGGAGTAAAAAAATATTGAAACGTTAAATACAAACATTAATTTTAAAGAGCTTATTCATTCAGTACTCAACGCTCCCTTTTAATATCTTAAACCATTTAAAAAAACAACAACAGAGAAATGTTTGAAATAATAGAATCACTTCGGGAAAAACCCCCACTTTACTCATTAAGACAATTCCGATAATACAGATTACAGCATACATACCACAATAAGTACTACAAACCGATATATTACTGCATCAAAAGATGCTCAAGGTTATTAAAAGCTTGTTCGAAGCACTAGGATGTTTATTCTATGCTTTTAAAGAGATAAAAACACAGAATTCAAATGAAGATTACATTTTTAACATTAACAATACTACGAAACAAAGTTGTAAACAAGTGTCTTATACATTCTCACAAAATGAATAATGAAATATTCATAATTGCTTATTTTTACTCATAGCATTCATGCTAAACAAATCCTACATTTGATTCATGCAAGATAAATACCATATTTGCTTCATTCTAGATAAACACCACATTTGTATGAAATTCATGAGGTTAATGTTAATTTGACATTGCTGTGCGATAAAACTGAGAAGTCTACTCAGGACTTCCTTGATGTTTTTGGTGATACCTTCGGAGACGTTTTTAAATGAGAGTGCGCAGCAGACTCATTTTTAAATCGTCGCAGGGGTGAAAGACCATTTTGCTGCTTTGAATCGGTCTTTTTAGAATCAGAAGTTCTATGGTCGGCTTTAAGTAGACCATTTAAATCTATTTTTCTTGCGTCTGGGGATTTTCGTAATAATTTTTCAACAGCGGATTCGTTATCATTGTCATTTTCATCGCACAGTGGAGATTTCACACTTACAGCTTTACGTGGTCTTTGTAGTGTTCCGTCGTACGTATTACTTCTCTCCCTTGAATGGCGTAAAATTCCTTCCGGATGTTTATGCGAATGTAGATCATCTCTTGACCTAGTCTTTTTACCACCAGGGGTCACTAAATTTGAAGCAAAATGAACGCTCGGGTGTGGTTTCTTGTACGTTGTATCGATAGTATTGCTTCTTTCCCTTGGCGGTAAAATTGCATCGTCGTCATTTTGACATTCAAATAAAGCTTCCCGAAATTCCTGTGAACCTCTTGGCACAAACTTGTCTAGCACATGCAAAGTTTTGCTAGTGTCCAAATCATTTAAAGCTTTTTCAATTTCATTGACCGCATCCGTGCTCATTGTGTACTTTGTCCATATAACAAATCAACCGCACATATTATTTTCTCCGATATTTCAAATTATAGTTCATCAATCAATAGTGGATCTGTAAAAAAAAAATAAAACATACAAATAAATACAATCTGAATGCAAGTTATCCAACTAAAGCCCCAAAACTAAAACTTTATTAACTTCTTAAAATGATTAAGGCCGTTGACTTTCATTCGTTTAAATAACGCTTGACAGTCTCTTGGAAGTGGTTGTTGTGATCACATTTTACAACAAAAAATGCAATATACTAATGGTTATGTTAGGTCATTAAAACTTCATTTAAAACTGAATAAAATACCCAATAAAAAGTTAATGAGGCCATATAAATTAACTTTTAGATTCTGAGCGTCAAATATGTAATGTTACGAAAGATTAGATACCTATGAATAATAGATGAAGGCATTGTAAAAGAAGACTTTTTATCGATATTTACAGTTAATCAACATTTTGCACTCCATGTATAGATTAAATGGTTTTTACGAATAATGACTGAAAAAGGCGTTTTTTTTTACAAATTAAATACTTCCTTGAATAATAACAAATCGTTAAATAGAACGAATGGGAATTATTATATTTTGTCTTTCTATATCATGGTGTATTTTGTAAAGTGACAGATGTAATAAATATGTAGAAAACGATTGAAATAAATTAATCTAATACCAAATAAAACATTGTTACGAAATTTCATTTAGATACTCTACTTAAGTATAGCAAATAGGTATGATGACTATTTTATGATTTTTAATACAATACTTTGGAACAAATATTTTGGATCACGTTGGAGATTTGACACTTGAAAATTTTAATTTAAAATACTGTGCATTGATACTTACGATTTGAATCCATTGTTCCTTGGTATTCCGACTGGTTGAGATTGAGAACAATTCCAAAATATTATATCACTTGCAATATAATGTTTTGACAAAAAGAAAATAAATAAATCTCCGAATTGAAATATTAACATAGTTAAAGGTATAACTAACAAGTATAAATGACCCACATTTCTTTATTTAGTTATGAGTGTAATATACCTTGGAATTATTTAAAACGTAAATCAATTTTTCCTACCGTACATCCTGATATCAATGAAATATTATTAATTATTAGTATGTATCCTCGTAAATTCACATAGATGAAATTTTCCCACAAATCAGTCAAGTATATTTAAATCCTTCGGTAAATACACCCGTAGCCCTTATCTTCACCCGTACAGTGTCTTTCCACTATTTAGATGTAAGACGTTCAAATCCATACAGTGTACGTTTTATAAAACATCAGCGAACACTCACTGCAAACCTGTGTTTGAAAACGATCTTCAATACTTTCTCTTCTAGTCAATTAAACTTTCATTTAAACCAACTAACCGAAAAGTAAACACTACTCTCACAAGTCATTAAAATAGTACATGCAGGTAAAATGTAATTCTTCATACAAACATCTCGTAATTACTGTATTATTTTATTTAAATTTCCGTTTGTCGTAATACAAATATTGGTAAATGTTCAAACTTTGATACTAATCAGTTCGTCGTGTCTTATTTCAACGAGTTCGTCGCCTATTATCAATATGTCAACTAAGTTAAATAATAGTCATACATTAGCAATGGCTATATTTCGTATGGTATATCTATTTACGTATGTGAATTGACCTGTTCAGTTAAACAAAAGGACTACCTACGACTACCTTAATTTCTGAAACAAAACATGTCACATGTGCACATTCCAATGTTTGTTCTTACTTTTACAAACTCATCAAGCTTTAAAGTATAATTTTTTAAAATACTAAAAGTGAAAACCATTATATGTCCAATGTTTGTTCCTGACTTTTTTTTAACTCATTAAGCTTCAAATTATTTAAATACCAAAAACCATTAAACCAAGTTAAGTATTGTTCTGTAACTTCACACATGTACTTTATTAATCTCCCTTTGATAGACGGTGTATACCGAATAATTTTTATCATGACTTTTATTTTCATTGATTGTGATAAAATTATTGTAAAAGTTGTAATAATACACGTGTAACATGTAATAAATAAATAACGAATTAGTAAATTATACCACTGAAATATTTAGCTACTATACCCGATGTAGATATTGTGAAAGGCAGTTACAATATTGACCGTTTGACTTCACATACATAAAATAATGTCCCCATGAAATAATGACCGTGTACACTATTTCGTAATGACTAATAACAACAGATTGGTTGACAGAAATAATCGTATCTATTTTCTGTAACTTTGATTAAAAAAAATAATTAAGTCAATAAAAACCTCCGGACAATTTGGTTTACGATCATGCGTCCACTAAAATATGAACTACTGTACTTGAATTAATCTAAACCACTTCCGTACCTCCTTGCTGATAAGGAATAGAAGACATACATATTCATGAAAAGGGTTGAAAAGGAACATTTTCAAAATATTTTAGAATATAATACATTGAGAGAATCCTGTCTTGGTAGATGATGATGTATGGCCGTTTAATGTCCAGTGGCAAATTAAATACATATTCAGGACGAGAACATGTTAATGGGATATGAATATGAACCCTGCTTTGTACTACTGAGACTAACGCGCTGAGCAGGAGTTATATCGTGCTAGTTTAACTAGGTAACATCCCATAGGAACCGACACATTTATTAAGCTTCCGAGCCGACTTTTTTTATGTTCGTAATCCTAAATTTTACCTTACTTGGTAAAATAAACAAAACTACGTATGGCAATATTTATTTGAGCTTGGTACCCCCAAGTAAATACACACCCCCCCCCCTTCCCCCCAATAACATACATATCCTCGATCATTATATAACAAGCAAGTACATGTAACAAAAAAGTCCAAATGCTAGTAATATATGTGTAACAAAAGTCTATAATATGGCTAAAAATAGCAGCAGTTATCACGCAAACACAACACCCTTAATAATACTACTGGGAGGTGGGTGGGAAAGCTAGCATAAATTTTAGCGTGCAGCCATGAGCAAAGTACTGTTTGAAAGCATGGTCCACTCAAACGAAGCTTGAAAAAATGGGGTTTGCAAAATGCGTGAGAGAAAGCGCGGTAAATTCGAACGTACGTGCTAAAAAACTATTTACGGGTAAATACAATGTCGCAAATGCCCATTTTCAAATATTTATTTTTTTAGTTTATCACAAATTTCTCCATTGCAGTGCAAGTTGTTCTTATGTAAGTCAATTTTACAAATTAGCTAGTTGTAATCAAGCTAGGGTTACAAATATCAGAGTCAAATTTAACCCGAGACGGATTTGGTTATTCTGTTAAGGTTTTTTGGTTTTGTGCTTTAAAACGTTGTATCATGAATCATTGAATCGGTGTAACTGATGGAGTCTGACTCCACAAGGTAATAAACTATTCAGTTCCTAACGCTTTTGTACTGACATGAAATAAACGACATATTATCGATAAACGAAAATCCCCTTTAGTATAAAATATGTTATGTACTGAAGCCCAGGATGTAACTTTCTCAAACAATGATACAACTTAAACAGTTTTGGATGTTCTGTTTATGTCCTTCATTTCCGTTTCGATGCTTCCTAACAACCCCCGATACTTTTAACTTGTGACGAAGGTTATCTATACAGTTTGTTAAATCTTTATTTAATTTTATAGCAATTTTCGTTTTACATCATTCAATTTAAAAAAAAAGAAGTCGTTCGCCAGCAGCTTTATGTTTCCGTTTCGACGTTTTACACGCTGTTCTTATTATATCTCCACCACTGATTCTAAATCTTTGGTAACATTTTTTATACTAGTACAATGCAAAATGCTGTAATCTTTTAGAAGTCCTGCGGACTATACAACTTTATCGATTTCGTTAACAATCACCGATTTTTTTTCAAAGATGTTGCTGAATAATTATCTTGTCATTTGGCAAATATTTTGTTTATATTAAAGTTAAAAGTTGAAATAAAAAACAACAACGGGTATTTACAAAATAAACCACAATGAAACTTAACCACACTCTCTTCTATATGTAGCACCTGTACAAATGCTGTTTTTTTCTATTTACATATAAGTTATTCTGATACATTTGCATGTCTTGCTATACTTGAAATTTCTGGAGGGTGCATGACTTCAATGAATAATGATAACACATACCAAATTTTCTACGTGTAATGTGCATTCCTGGGTTAATCTTCAGTAGGAAAGAACAGATATGATGGTTGGAAATCAAAGATGTAATAATACGTCATATTATACCGCGTGCAATATAATGAAAACAACCAAAAACTAGCCAGTACTTCATGAAAATCATTTGCGTTAGGAAGTTCAATCTTACGGTTTGCAATTGTCACACATTTTTAAAATGTATCTATTGTCGCACATTTTTAGAATGTATCATGCTGAATGCCGAAACAATGTCAAGTTTATTGAGATTCAATCCCTACTTCGTTATTTTATATAGTTTTTTTTATAAGTTTTAGGTTATGGCCGGGGGAATTTTGTTTCCTGTCATATTCTTGTCTATCAAATTCGATTTTTGTTAAAGATAATCTTACATTGTTTACTGTTTGTATCTGACTTCTCTTTAACAGTCAATGACCTAAAGATTAGCCAAATTTCACAGTGGTAGCTTAACAGCGATCATGTGTTTGAATGTTTAAGACTATTGTACACATATAGAACAGTTTAAAAAATGTACTGATTATTACACTTCAATCATGTCAATCAGTCAGTTTAATTTTTACCAAGATTACCAAGCGACTTGACTATGCTAATATTTGCTTACTTTTTATTAGGGTATTGGACAACTTTTTTATTTGTTCAAACATAGAAAAGGATCAAAGATTATCTAGTATTGTGGTGACATATGAGGATTATTTGTCAGTTTGAAACAGAGAAATTTACTAGCTTACCTAGCTAATCAGAAACAGATGACAGAAAGTTGTTATATAGCTATAGCACGGTTACGCGTACTCCTTCAAACATTGTATTCTCACGTAGAACTGTCCAATTGTAAATAAAAGTTTGTCTTTACTGATGCCTATAATGGAGATTTATTCATTTTGCTGTCATTTGATCCAGTCCTTAGGAAATATGAAATGAGACACACTTTAAACCTTTTTGTGTTGTCAGCTACACTGGCGATCAAATACAAGAAACATTAATAAAAGCGTTGAAACACAAAAATGTATGTTTTCAAAGTATAGTCAAAGTAGTCACAGTAATACATGTAACTAATTAAAAATTAGCCTGGGTACTAGCTGACTGCGTTCTTACACTGTCACTATCGACGAAGTATAAGATTGGGTCAGGATGCCAGGCTAATAAAAAAGTCAATTAAACCGATAATTTAAATCTGAGTCATGCACGAATAAGACAGATTTCGAAAAACTTCAACACAAAACTTGTTATCATAATTTTACATTTGGGTAGCCATTAAAAGCAGGTTCAACCCATCATTTTTTCTTAAAATGTCCTGTACCAAGTCAGGAATATGGCAGTTGTTATCAAATAGTTCGTTTCTATGTATGTTGGCGTTTGTTTTTGTTACACTTCAGTGTTTCTGTTGTTCCGTTGTTTTCCTCTTATTGTAATAAAATATAAAAATGTGTTTCCCTCGGTGTTAGTTTGTAACCCGGATTTGTATTCTCTCAATCGATTCATGACTTTTGAACAGTGGTATACTACTGTTGCCTTTATTTACAGAGCACCTGGGATCATCTCGGTCTTTGGTATGGTTCGTGTTAGTCAATTTTAATGTTTTTGCGTAGTGTTTTGTGGAATGATGATTGTTTTTCTTTCTAGCCACTGTCTCTTCTATTTTATATCATGTGATTGTTTAATACCCCTTGGTCTCTACTTACTAACCTTAGATAACATAATTAATTAAAAGGTAACAATGGTACAGTGTTACAAGTTCATTACCAAATATGGACACAAATTAAAAAGAGAATGTCACCGAAAGAGTTCACGTTAACCAGGGCCATGTGAAATGTTCACAGCTTAATATGAGCAGACGAACCGAACCATGATTCTTTGACTTGGAAACCAAATTACTCTGCAGAATAATTATGCCTAAAAGGATATCTAAGTGTACAACAAATCGCACTTTCGTAATAACCCTACTTCCCAAACCAGGATTTGTTTTACTACGATTATTGTGGATAAACTCATCATAGATACAATGTACCAGGATTAAAATTTTGTACGCCAGACGCGCATTTCGTTTACAAAAGACTCATCAGTGACGCTCGAGTATAAAAAAGTTAGAAAGGCCAAATAAAGAACAAAACTGAAATGCACTGAAGACTCAAAATTCCGAAAGATTTTGCCAAATACAGCTAAGGTAGTCTATTCCTGGGGGTAGAAAATCCTTAATATTTTTCAAAAAATTCAAAGCTTCGTAAACAGTTTATTTATAATTATGAGCATATCAATGATAATTTATGTCAACACAGAAGTGCTGACTACTGGGCTGGTGATATCCTCGGGGTGGAAACCTCCAACAGCAGTGGCATAGACCCAGTGGCTGTAAATAGACAAATCATAGATATCAGGATTAAATATTGTACGCAGACGCGCATTTCGTCTACAAAAGACGCGAATAGGTCTAAATACTTGAAATGGTAGGTTTTACATTTAGATGTCATTTCAATTTATTTTGGATAATACTATTCTAATGAGAAACATATAAAATGAAATTACGTATACAGTTACAGATAAACACTATAGTGAGTATATCAAAAAATGTTACAAATTTAAAACAACTGAAAATTCGGTTATGAATGAGTCAACACTTATCGATATTTATCTCCAAAACGTTAAAAACTAAAGACATACCAACTTCTCTATATATAT